CGTTTTCTGCAGGAGAGAATGCGGCAGAAGAAGAACCTCAGGCAGACAAGCCCGGTTTGGAGATGTTTTTGTTGTGCAATGACGTGCGGCGGGTGTTTGCGAGAGAGAGAGAGAGAGAGTGAAACGGCAGAATTGAACACTACTTCCAATGCAATCTCTGTACATGTCCAGTAAAATTGTCCAGCGATCTGTACATTTATTGATGAGGGTTATGAGATGTTATGAGTAGAAGTAGGTAAAGTAGGGGCTTGCTATGTTGCAAGAGACATCCCCTTGGTATTGAGCCACAGAACGAGCTTCAACTGCTTTGTCACTGTTTGGTCTCGCTTGGTTTCCAGGATGTTGTGGAAGCTTTTGAAGGTGCATCGTCAGATGCAAGTGAAGGCCCGCATTGAAGTTGTTCTTGAACCGTTTCTTCTCGACCAATGGGTTCCTTTCTACACATGGATGTGGATTGCGTTCAATAGTCCCTACTCTAAAATATGACCATGCGACATTTTTCATTGACAACATACGTTTATGATCTTCAATTAGAAGCGGGCTCCCAGCAGACTACGTTGATTCCACAAGGCAGCGCTAGGTTGTCTATGATATGACCGCGATTTGTTCGTATGCCCCCTCTTCACGCCCACCTCCCTCCCTGACTCACGCACGCACGCACTCACTCACTCACGCACTCACTCACGCACTCGAACTCCTTCACTCGAACTCACTCACTCGAACTCACGCACGCACACACGCACGCACGCACGCACGCGCGCACGCACTCACTCACTCAATCAATCAAGCAAGCAAGCAATCAATCAACCAATCAATCAAAATTCACTCAATACCAGCGTGTGTTTGCATGTTTTTGCGCTAGCCGTGCTCCGCGCAGGATGAGGGTCCACTTCGCGGTACGCGATTCATTTAATTTAGTTTTTGGCCAACAATCATGTTTGCTGAAGTTGTGTGTCCATTTGGCGGGGTTGATGCGATACGTCGTCTAAGCCCAATGGCAGCAAGAGTCCAAAAACTGCAAGAATCCAGCAGCAGCAGCAGCAGCAGCAGCATCTCTGGCACAGATTCTCCGGCCTATGCCTATGGCTCGAACATATAGTAGCTAGAACACAGAATCTTCTACTTCTGTGTTTTACCTATGGCTCTAACATATAGAAGATTTAGAAGCTGGCCTCCACCAGGTTTGCAAAAATGACATTTGTGGGAAAAGACGTTTTGACAACCGCCCAAATGGGCCCAGGAATAGTCAAGAATCATTATGCAATGCAATTAAAGTATTTACATGTTGCTGTGGATGTCAATTTGTTCGAGCAGCAAAAATGTCAAGTTGTGGTCAGTTTGTGCTGAGTGGGTGTGTTTCCCTATGTTTTCCCTTAGGAGAGAGTGCCAAGCAAGAGGAACCGAAAGCTGCCAAGCAGGCGTCAGGGGGCACTTGGGATTATCCAACAAACAACAAGGATGGACAGCACGGAGTGCCAGAGAACTATGCTTTGCTTTCCACAGGTGCCTGGACCAGATGCCGAGACGAGTCATGCCATGCCAAAAGAAGGCTTGGGTCCCAAAATCCGAATCAATCCAATAGCGTGCCAAGCATGAGATATGTTGGCATGTGACTCTTTACAGCACCTACTCTAGACACTCAGCTTCTCTTTCACGTTGACTCAGGCCCACAGACTGACATGCTAGAGGTTCAAAGGCCCACGCATGAAGCCTCAGATCATTGGAAGCAGAAGGCAGGGGGTTGCAGCACGGCAGACTGAATGCGAGGTGCGTTTCAGTAGCATCAATACTGGCTCAATGCTGGCATCCTTGGCAGGTGTTGGGTGATGCAGATTCTTTGTTCCGGGATCTGGATGCACTTTTCTTTGACAGCTGGGCACGTCCTGGTGTGGATCTTCAACCTGAGATTACGTGCCCCAGATCAGGTTTATATCAATAAAGCTTGACTTACTGCATACTGTAGCTTCCAGT